AAAAAAGGGAACCTAATTTTTTTTCTCATTCTTCTCTGGACTGAGCATACCGTTTTTACCTTTTCTTCCTTAGATGATCAACTAGATGATATACTAAGGCATTAATTACTTCTAAACTGACAGGTGAAGTTTTTATAGAGAGGGATGTTGAAAGGACGAATAACGTACTAAAACACATGGCACATTTACTTTATGAACAGATCCCAAGTAGCCTGTCTCCCACTATAAACTTGAACATGAGTTTAAATCTTCTCCATTTCAAGGCCGGGTGTGGTGGCTCACATCTGTAATCCCAGCACTTTGGGAGGTGAAGGTGGATGGATCACTTGAGATCAGGAGTTCGAGACCAGCCTGGCCAACTTTGTGAAACGCTGTCTCTACTAAAAATACAAAATTTACCTGGGTATTGTGGTAGGCATCTGTCATCCCAGCTGCTTGGGAAGCTGAAGCAGGAGAATCACTTGAACTTGAGTGGTGGAGGTTGCAGTGAGCCAAGATTGTACCACTGCACTCCAGCCTGGGTGACAGAATGAGACCCTGTCTCAAAAAAAAAAAAAAAAAAAAAATCTTCTCCATTTCAAAATGGTTTAGAATTGTGCTGTCATGGAACCCAGTTTTATGTATCATATTAGTTGTAACTTGTGAGCACCTGTGATGAGCTACTTGGTTTTCTCCTCAGGGGTCTCTCTTTTTGGCATGTCAGCTCTGTTACTCCCTGGGAACTTTGAGTCTTATTTGGAGCTCGTGAAGTCCCTGTGTCTGGGGCCAGCACTGATCCACACAGCTAAGTTTGCACTCGTCTTTCCTCTCATGTATCATACCTGGAATGGGATCCGACACTTGGTAAGTTAGTTGGGGATTTGCACATTTTCTCAGTGAAGTGGGTGGGGAGGCTAGGAGGATTCTCTCCTTCATTACTGGGTTTAGTACTGTTCTTTTTTGTTGTTGTTGTTTCAGAGGTGGAGTCTTGCTCTGTCGCCCAGGCTGGAGTGCAGTGGCGCGATCTCTGCCTCCTGGGTTCAAGTGATTCTGATGCCTCAGCCTCCCAAGTAGTTGGCGTTATAGACGTGTGCCACCACTCCTGGCTAATTTTTATATTTTTAGTAGAGACAAGGTTTTGCCACGTCGGCCAGACTGGTCTCGAACTCCTGGCCTTAGGTAGTCCACCCACCTCAGCCTCCCAAAGAGCTAGGATTACAGGTGTGAGCCACCGTGCCCGGCTAGTGCTGTTCTTAAGGTTAGTTGTGACTCAGGGTCCTCTTGGGAAAGCTAAACAAGTTCCTCTGTGCGTTCTCTGGCAGTCCTGCTGGTGGTGTAGCTGAGCAGTGATATAGGCTTCACAGATACTTGCAGAGTCTCATTGTGAACTCTTCCTTTGTAAGAGGGATATTATTATTATTATTAT